TGCGCCTGCTCACACGTGTGTGCATGCATGTAAGTGTGCCCATGCAAGTGAGTTTGTGTGTGCGTTTGCATTTGAGAGTCCTCAGGTATATATTTCCAGGTGGAAAGGTGTGCAAATGTGCAACTGTGTGCATACACACGAGCATGTGAGTTAGCAAGTGTGCTTGGCATGCCTGTTCTCAAGACAGGAGCAATGGCCTGGAGAGGGGGTGATTTTCCTTTGCCAGCCCACCCTACGGGTTCTTGTAAGGCAGGGACCATGCTCTGGGAGGATTAATCTCTGCTCCTTTCCCAGCACCCCGTGCGCCCTTCCACTTCCCTGAAAGAGTCCCAGGTCCATTGCTCAGGCTGCCTTTGACGTGGAGAGGTTGCTACGTTGATGATCGAGCAGGATGTTTGCAACAGGCCAACATCTGCGGGTCAGTTGGTAAACTGAGCCCGAGCCAAGTGTGTGTGACACTCTTACTGTGTTTGTGGACACCAGCTCTGTCGGCTCACCACATGCCTTCCTAGCAGCACTCAGGAGGCGGCGAGACACAGAGATGGAGGCAGAGGGAGAAAGTGTCCCTTCTGGCCCCTGCATTTCAATCTTTTCCCTATATAAACATTCAGAACACTTGGCCCTCAGACAGGCCCTTTCCTCTGAGGATCCGCGAGCTGTGTGCAGCGCTGACTCAGTCACATTACCCTCATTGCACAAATGGGGAAAGTGAGGCACAGAGAAGTGACTGATCCAAGGTCACCCTGCAAGTCAGCGGCATAGCCAGAGCCTCAATTTCCCTTTCCACGTGGCTGCCGGCTGCCTCACTCCCCCATCCCACGCTCCTCTCCCTTCACTCAAATCACCCAGCCCAGCTGCGCTACTTGGCATGCAGGGTTGATGGCCTGTTCCCGTGGCTTCGTGGGAGTGGGCGCATGGGCTCTGTGCCTTCAGTCACTCCTCAGCACAGGAGAGCAGGGTTGAGGGGCTCTCATGGGAAATGGTGCAAGACCGACAAGGGTTCTAAGCGCTCTGGACAGTTGCGAGCGGCCGGTTATCAGCGCGAGGCACAGTTCTACCAAACCACAAAGCAGGAAGTGCAGGAGGGCTATTTATGAAGCTGATTTTCCATTACACTTCTTGCAAAGAGCAGGGCTGAGCTGTTGTTGCAGCCATGTTCCGATTCAAAATTAGCAGTGTGGCTTAAGTGGCATATGGGCTAAGGCTCCAGGTTTAATCTTTAACTTTAACACAATGGGCTCCTGGTCTGTGACTAGGGCTCCCAGGCACTAAGGCAAGGCAAATAATAATAGCCAAGTGATACTGACAAGGGCCTCCTCTGAGCATACCATTATATTCCCTTCCTTCCTACCTGGGTACAGCGCAGCGCTCCAGTGAGACTGGGATGGTGGGCCAGGGAATCCCTCCTTCCCGATGTCTATAGCTGCCTTTCCTCTATCTGTCAGGGCTTGGCTTTGCACACAAGTTCAGCATCACCCCTTTAGTTAAACCAGTGCAATTTTGTGGCCTGGGAAAACTCCTTTTGGTCCCCGACTCCTGGCGGCTCGTGGCTCAGAGTGGCTGGGACCCACCACCCTGCATGCAATCTGTTACACGAGGGAAAAGTGGGTGTGAGCATCTGCTACTCTGACTGGGTAGGACCAGACCTCCAGCTGGCAGAGAAGATGAAGTCAATGGGACTGTGCTGACTTAAACTAGATGAGGTTCTGTCGCCATGGCCTGAGATGCGCTAGCAAGAACTGTGTTCAGAAGCAGTGATCAGGAAGAATGACGTGTGCTAATGGGTCTCCAGCACCATTGCTGCTAAAACAATTCAGACACAGTCTCCCTGGCCTGGGTAAATCCCGGGACTGTGCTCTGAGAACCATGTTATGGATTCTCTGAACGTGGTTGTAATGTGGCTTCGAATGTGGACACAACCCTGATGCGCTGCAACTAGATCTGCAACAGTTTCAGGTGCGTTCCCAGTTCGCTGAAGGGCACTTGGACCCAGAGGCTGGCTGCAGGCTTCTGGTTTCTAATGATGTCACGTTCCCCCCCCCCCGAAGAATGTCATAAGCAAAAGCTTGCTGCCCAAGGGAAGGGGGTGAAGTAGGAGGCAGAAACAGGTTAGGAGACCCCAGAGGACAAGGGTCCCCCAAGAGACCAAACACGTCACAGGGAGTGAGGCTTGGGAAGCATTGTTATATTCATATTATGTCATCATTATGTCGATTTGCTGCTTTGTTACGAGTCAGTGGCATGTTGGTGGTAACGTGAATGAGGTGATTGCTGATGGTCCCTGGATCTCTAGGCTGCTGGTTCTAGCCCCCGTTAGGTCAGCTACCCAAGTAGCAGGAAGTTGTTACTCCCTGATTGCTGGTCAGTAGTGGAGTCTACTTAGAAATGGGACCTGGTGGGTTTGAAAGGCAAAATGCTCCAACGTGTGCACTGGGGGGCAGGTCTGGATGCCGATAGCCTGGGAACCGAGAGGTTAATGTGGAGCAATGCAATTGATTCTGGCAGTATGCAGGGGAGAGCAAGGAACAAAGGGGCATGCGGCAGCCAGGCTGGGGCTGGTGGCAAGAGATTAGGGGGCTGATCCAAAGCTCACAGAAATCAATGAGATTCTTTCTATTGACTTCAATGGGCTTTGGCTCAAGTCCCCAGGGCTCTGGGATATTAAGCTCCCGCTTGTGCGTGTGAGTGTCCCCCAAAGTAAGTACGGGGCTGGCAGGCAAAGGAGAGGGCATGTCTCTGTTTGCAAAGAGAGGGCAAGAGCCTACATTTCCCAGCAGCCCCCGCAAGAGCTAGGGAGAGGTCTGCTCCTCTGTAAGCGCCCAGCAGGGCTCAGGGATCGCGGCTGAGTCATACTTGACTGTGGTTTCGGGTTCCGCCAGGGCAAGGTGTTATTACTCCATCACCCTCCCGCTGTCCCCCCCCCCCACTTCCTCTCAGAAAGAAGAAAGCAAAACCACTTGAATCACTCTGCTGGGGGCTTCTTCTCTGTTGTGCCCTGCCTCTGCCCCTGCTGTGCCCACTCCGCTCATCCGGCTGGCTGGCTGGCTTTCGCCACACATCGCCTGTCTCTCTACGGACATACATATTCATCCTAATACCCATCTCACACCATGCACATCCAACTATCAGTCTATACGATTTCTTTCTCTCTCTCACACACACACACACACACATGCCCAAAACTGCATCTATTTACCTGCATGTTCATAGTGGCTCCATCCATGGCTCTAGGTATCTCATCTCCTAGCCTGTGAGTTCTATGGAGGTGAACACACAGGTCCAGTCTCCAGTGCCTGCTGACCCAACACCTTCCACCAGAACTAGATGCACTTCAAACACACATGCACGCACGCACACGCAGAGCCAGGCTCTCTCATTCCCACCCTACCTTTGGCCCTGGAGCTGTACAGGGAGTTCTCCTCCATGGATAGCGAGACCGGGTGGCTGTCCTTCCCCACTGCTGCCTTCCGTTCCTCCCTGCTCCTCTGGAACCCACAGGGAAGAGAAATGGGTGAGTGTGGGGCAGCCCAAGTCCAGCCACGCTGATTTGGGCCCATGTGGTGTCTCCTCCCCAGCACTGAGATCCAGATGCCAGAGCTGATAGAGAGGGCATCCCCCTTCCTGCAACCTCATCTCCTAGTGCCTGGGGCTCTTTGTTGAACTGCCAAGGCTCCTCCCACTCCCCAGACCAACAGGGGCTTGGAGACCCTGTGAAGGACACAGGGGACACCAGAGCTGGCCTGAGAGAGCACCCTGAGGACTCTGAGCAACACTTCAGTGTAGGCCAAAGCTCAGTACTAATGAGCAAAGCTGGGCCATCCATTCTCCCTGGCACCCTCCAACACCCACCTCCATGGAAACCCCAGCTCTTGGAGTCCCCCACCCCTGAACACCCCCCTCCAGATCCTTGGCATCCCCCTCACTCTTAAGGACCCCTCCATACGCCCACATCACTCCCCACCACCACAGGGAGCACGCCGCCACTCTTACCGCGAAGGCCAGATCGCAGAGGGTGAGGACCCAGTTGGCCACCTCGGTGCTTTCAGCTGCCAGCAAGTAGCGCTTGTCCGTGGTCTCCAGAATGAAGGGGACAGTCTCCTTGGGGCTGCTGGTGTCCCCATTAGCCTGAGCCACATGCACACAGTTACTCAACTTGATGAGCTTCTTGCCACTTTCAGCCTTCTTGGGCTTCTCGGAAGTGGGAGGCCCGGAGCCCTCGAAGAGCTCCAGGTGGGCGCAGGAGCAGGCACTCTCCCGGTACAGCACTGCCCAGAACTTCCTCCATTTCTGACCAGGGGGAAGGAAGCAAAAGGAACAGAAACATGCGGGTATTAGCTCTCCCTTTGGGTTCCTAGGAAGTTTTGCTTCTGATTCTCATGCACTAGCCCAAGGCTGCAATGTCTGGGCTGTAAATGGCCTCCCGGGGACAGCTGGTTTGTTTTACATGGAAAACTAAAGCTATTCCCACCTCTTCATGGCAAAAAACAGTTGTGTTTTTACATCAAGACAGATCTAGAGCCATGGACTATTTTCACTGAAATAAGAGGTGTGTTTGCATTGCTAGCTAGCTCAATGCAAACCCTAGGGGAAACAAGCCACCCGCAGTTTTTACCTTGGTGTAACTAGTGGAGTTTAACCATATATCAACATACCTGGGTTTAAGCTCACCTAGCTCCATCACAGTAAAAACTGCAGTGCCTTCTCTCCACTAAGGTTTATCAAAGCAAACACACCTCTTATTGCAGGGATGACACGGTCCTTGTCTCCACCCTGGAGTGCTGTTTTAAAAAGAGCCATGAGGGTAACAATTTCAAAAGCACCTGTGCCTTAGGAGTCCAAGTTCCATTGCAAGTCAACAGGATTTGGGCTCCTAAGTCACTTAGATCCAGATCCTCAAAGGCATTTAGACACATAACTCCCATTCTGTGCCTTAGAGGCATCTGAAAATTTTCCCTTAAGTGTTTACTTTTAATTGGCTCCTGTAAACATCCCCGACAATCCACAAAGACACTGAGACTCTGGGTGCATCTACACTGCTCGTGGCAGCGAGCCTCTCAGCCCTGGTTGACAGATTTGGGCTTGCGCGGCTCACACTATCACATTAAAAATACCTAGGTCAAGGCTGCAGAGGTCTGAAACCTAGAGAGGGGGATTGGCAGCAGAGCCCAAGCTCCAGCCCCAGCTGCAACTTCAAACTGCTGTCTCCTGTCTTCACAGCTAATTTTAGCACTGAAGCACAAGTCCTGCACGCCTGAGTCTGTTGACCCAGGCTTGGGGGCTTGCTTCTGTGGGTGGCTGATGGCTGTGTAGAGGTAACCTCAAAGGGCTGGTCTAAGCACAAACATGCTGGACACGAAACACCAACATTGGTTTTCATTCAGATCTTTCATTATGTTGGTACAGGTTACGTTAGCTTGAAGGGCCAGAGACTCCACAAAGTCCGCTAGAGACTTCACTAGTGCTCTTGATTTTATGTGGAAGGAGCTCAGATACTGCAGTGATGGGCAGCAGGATAAAATCCTTAGATAGATAGATAGATAGATAGATAGATAGATAGATAGATAGATAGATAGATAGATAGATAGATAGATAGATAGAGGGCCGGCTCCAGGCACCAGCCCACCAAGCTTGTGCTTGGGGCGGCACCTGGAGGGGGGCGGCGCGGTGTGGCGCTCCGGCTCCGGCCACCGGGGAGAGCGGAGCCCCAGCCGGGGCTCGCTGCCAGGGAGAGCAGAGTCCCGGCTGGGGCTCGCCGCCCTCCCCCGGGGCTCCGGCCGCCTTCCCCCCGCCCCCCGTGCCCTCCCCTGCCGCGCTGGGGGGCACGGCCGGAGGCTTTTTTGCCTGGGGCGGCAAAAAAGCCAGAGCCGGCCCTGGATAGATAGATAGATACTCTTAACCTGGACTCAGAGTGGCTATCTATGTGTACATGCCCTGAAATGGCTTTGTCAGAAATACTGTTGCCAAATTGACCAGCTGAACTGCTGCCAAGACAGCAATTTCACCCTGCAAATGACGTCTTTGTGGCAGCTTTCTCACTTAGGGCCCAGTTGATGCCTAAGTGCATGATCTAAAGGATCCTGAAGTGAAATGGACTCTTGCCATTGACTACCATGGGCTTTGGATCAGGCCCTAGATTGTTTCCGATTCTGTAAAAACAGGCAGACGTCACTGCATCAGGGACACTTGCGTCACGTTTTTGAAGCTAGCTCAACAACCAGAACAGCTGGAGACTTCCTTTGTGTTACAAAATAAACAGAGAATAAGTAGGCCGAAGGAAATAGGGTCCAGTTTACCTCCCCACTGTGCACCAGCTGAATCAAAGCCCTCACTTTAACTGAGGATAACCTGACCTTTCTGTGTACATGGCTCAGTCTAGAGTGGTGCGAAGGTCAATCTGCAACATGCATATGCAGTGCACCAAACAGCTTCCCAATCTGCCTGCACTGATCTCCACAGTGTCGCCACAGGCTGTTTGCTTGGGTTAAACTTTCATGGGGGAACAGCCGCCACAGGTCAAGGATGATGGTAATCTGGTGCTCTGCTGCTCTGCCTGCTCTGCTCTCATGTGTTACAACACCACACCCATCTTCCTTGGGAGGGAAAGGGAGGGGAGGGGAGGGGAGTCCAGGATGCTCTGTCTAGCCCAGCCTTGGCGGTGGGGGGGTGTTTCACTGGGTGGGCGGAGAGCTATTGACAGTGACAGAAATAACAAGGGTTGCAAACATTCATTTGGTTATCTGCTAAGAAGATATGCTCCATCTATGCTCGTGGCCTGTTAGCCAGGCTCTCGCACACAGATCACACATGCGGCGCTGACATTTGCAGACGGGGGGTTGGGGTTACTATTCAATTTCACGTGTACGACTAGTGCTGGTGATTGGAATCTGCTGCTTAGCCGCGAAACTGAAGCCACAGCCAGGCAACCTTCCCAACCCTGGCCTAGAGCTGTTGCCAATTTTGGCTGGACGTATTCCTGGAGGCAGGGCCAGCTCTGGCTTTTTTGCCGCCCAAGGCAAAAAAGCCTCCCGCTGCTCCGCCCCCCGCCCCCCAGCGTGGCAGGGGAGGGCGACCGAGCCTGGCCACGAGCCGCTCTCCCCGACCGGCCGGAGCGCCGGGGGGGAGGGCGGCGAGCCCGCCACGGCTCCGCTGGCAGCCGGAGCCCCACGAGGAGGGCGGAGAGCCCGGCCAGGGCTCCGCTCTCCCCGGCAGCCAGAGTGCCGGGGGAAGGCGGTGAGCCCACTGCGGCTCCGCTCTCCTCGGCGGCCGGAGCCAGAGCACCGCGCCGCGCCGCCCCCCTCCAGGTGCCGCCCCAAGCACTAGCTTGGTGGGCTGGTGCCTGGAGCCGGCCCTGCCTGGAGGTTTCATCACATGACATAATCTTTAATTAAAGATTCATCTTTAATTCCTGGAGACAGTCCTGGAGGGCTGGCAACCCTAGGGAGCCACTTGGAAATAGCAGAGGAACTCCAGCCCCCCTTTAGGCTGTCCACCCCCAGAGGGCTAGTCAGTACCATGCTTGGTTTGTGCAATGCAGACTCTTGAGGACAGGGATCTGGACTGAGATCCTCCCTCTCTGGTGCCCACAGGCCGCACACAGAAATGCCTTTTGGTTATCACCAGCACTGGCTACGTTGATCAGCTGACCAACAGGAGAAACAGCCTGTTTCTGCGTCCTCCCATCTCTAAATGTGGTGCAGGGGCCTAACTCCCTTCTCCTTCACGCTGGGGTAAATCAGGAGTCACTCCGTAGTTACACCAGTGCAAGAGAAAGGGGAATCTGAGGTTTCTAACTGTGCTGCAAAAGAGCCTTTCCAAAGAAAAGGTCTTGGGGAAACAATCACCTCTCACTGTTCATTGTGGGCTAGACACTTAGCTGGTGTTAGTCAGTGAAGCCCAGGGAGCTTAGGCCAACTGACACCCACTGATGATCTGACCCCAGGGCCGGCTCCAGGGAGCAGCGCAGCAAGCAGGTGCCTGGGGTGGCCAACGGAGGGGGGCCAACGGAGGGGAGCACGTCCAGCTCTTCGGCAGCAATTCGGCGGCGGGTCCCTCAGTCCCTCTCGGAAGATTGGACCTGCCACTGACTTGCCACCGAAGAATGAAGCGGCGGCGGTACAACTGCTGCCGAAGTGCCACCAATCATGGCTTTTTTTTATTTTTTGCCGCTTGGGGCGGCAAAAATGCTGGAGCCAGCTCTGTCTGGCCCTATGTCTTTCTTTGAAAGCTAGACCTGGGCCCAGGAGCCAATGCCTGCACCCAGTTCTGAACTTCCCGGGGTCTAGGGGGCTGTTGGACCCAGGAGTCCAGTTAGGGCCCATCTCTATTAACAGTGCACCTCCTGCATCCCAGGGCTCATGCCCAGGTATCTAAGAGTACATCTACCCTACAAGAAAAGACTGCGGCACGGCTGCAGATGGCCCGGGTCAGCAGACTCAGGCTGCAGGGCTCAGACTTCAGCGCTACAAAATTGCAGGATAGAGGTTCCTGTGAGACCCCATGGGGGGTAGGGTCTCAGACCTTGGGCTCCAGCCCAAGCGAGTACACTGCTTTTAGCCCCACAAGTCCAAGTCAGCTGACCCCAGCTCTGAGACTCAGTGCAGTGTGGGGTTTTACGGCAGTGTGGATATATCTTTGGGGGTCTCATTGTGAGTTTCCCCTGACTGTTCAGCTCCCACCGGAAATGGCAGGCAGTGCTCTGGGGTTTGAACTCCCATTTTGGTCTGGCTGCAGCATTTCCAGAGGAACCTTTCCACGAACTAGTATGCGCTGCAAGCAGGTGAAAGCTAGCTGTGCAGACTTCTGCTTTCAGGGGAGCTCTTTGCAACCTGAGCCCGGCCCGGATCCTTGCAACCGGATCATCTTGAGACCTGCCCAGAAACTGGGCAGGAAGTATGAAAGCTCCTAAAATGCTGCAAAGAAGCAGGGTGGGGGAGAGCTGGGGTTGCCCCTGCAGCACAGCAGGTGGGTGTGAGCACGGATGCTGAACACAGGGGAGGTCCTGTGACACCGTAGATCAGAACTGAGCTGAGGAAACAGGGGTCTCCTGCAACGCAGGAGCAAGCAGGGAGCAGGGGAGCTCCTGCTGCAGTTGCAAAACAGTGGTGTTTTTCAAAGCCCAGCCCATGTTTATGCCAATCACTGTCAGGCCCCTGGCAAGTTGCCTGTGTCAGTGCCATGAAGACAAATCCCTGCCGCTCTCCTCTTCCCCTTCCCCAGTGTAGATTGTCCCCGTCTCTGTACTGTGAGTCTCAGGCCCTATATGTCTTGAGCGGAGGGACAACGAAAGCCAGAGACCTCAGCTTCTGCCTACGCCAGGGCTCTCGTTTGAAGGGATGTGACTCATTCCTGGGAGTCACCGGGCATGATGAGGGCTTCCTACAAGAGGGAGGAAGATCTGGTGAGCTGCAGCTTGTGCCCAGTTGAGTCACCAAGGCAGAAGACGGGTAGCAGGAGGGGGGATGCTGGACAGGGCTCGTCACAGTAGGATCAATGGGGTGAAACTGGGCAAGGGACTGTTTAGGCAGAACATCCAGGGGGTTCTTAATGGGGCGGAGAGTGTGAAGCGGGGACTCCTCTCCCCAGAGAGGCCCATACATGGTGCATTTAAACCCCTAGGAAACCCGTGTGGCTCTGTGACCCTACTGCCATTCGCAGCCCGGGTACAGCACAGCAACAGGGCCCTGCCAGGGATGAGGGGCCAGCCCTGCAAACTGTCCCGCTTTGCAATAAGGCAAGATGGCGAACTAGGGGCACAGAGGCAGGCACTGTCTGAGTCCAGGATGGAGGAAGCCCAGGCCTCAGGCAGGGCATGGGAATCCCCAGTCAAGAGCAGCTAGAGGCTTCCGGAACTAGCGGAGATGCCCAAGTCGGTCCTTACCTTCCCGAAGGTTTGCTGCTGCTGGAGGTACAATAATCCCTGTTTTACAACCGTCTCGTCCATCTTCTAGCAAGGAGCATCCTCTCACTCTGTCACACGCACTTTCCTGTCCCAGCCCTCCCCTCTATCTCTCTCGATCTTTCACACCTCCCACCTCTGACCCATGCTTAGCACCTCTCGGTCACCTAGCCCACTACACGTCTAGCTCCGGCTCCCTACCCTTCAGTTTAACTCATTCCCTCCCCAGACGCCGTCCTGCTTCTGCCTTCAGGGCTGGGTTTGCTCCCGATCTCACTTCATGAGCATGTGACGTGTGGCCGGGTTTTTTTTTTTTTTCCTTAAACATATACGTTTCACACTTCAGCTTCCTGTATTTGCGATCTTACCAAAAAGGGCAGCTACAGACGCTGTTGTTGAGTGCTGCTATGTCCACAGACACTCTGAAACATACTAACACACTGACATACATTCAGACTGTACATGCCAACACAGAGATACACACACAGACACACAGAAACTGTATGCACTGACAGAGACACACAGACAGTGACACACTGAGGCTGTACACACTGACACACAGAGACACACAAACACTGACACACTGAGGCTGTATACACTGACACACAGAGACACTGACACACTGAGGCTGTACGCAGTCACACACAGAGACACACACACACACACACCAAGGCTGTACGCACTGACACACAGAGACACATAGACACTGACACACTGAGGCTGTACGCACAGACACACAGAGATACACACACACACACCGATTGTACTCCCTGATCCACAGGCTGCACATTGTACACACAGACATTCTTGAGTCTTTCGCTCTTTACACCACAACACCAATCTGAAGACCCCACAGGGGACATACTGGATCCCAGATAGCTGTATTTACTAACTATACACAAACATGCCAGGCCTAGCAACAAGGTATGGGTTACAATAGCACCACTGCATTGGCTGATTTCTGGCAGCTTCTGAAACACGGAGCTTAGTGAGCATCGCTAGAGGGCTCACAAACTATTTAAAGGAATCCTACCCAATTCCTACACACTCCACATATGCACCGATTATACTTTTTTGTTTTTACTTTATTATCACCCTCCTTCGATTCAGAAAAGGCACAGGCAACAGGTTGGGTCAGAACCCACTTCTCCCACCCAACTCCACTATTCTTGGACAGACTCTGGGCTCTTTTCTTACTGCACAATACCCCAACGTGCCCTGGGATCTGCAGGCCCATCTGGATTAGAGAGGGGCTCATTTGGAGCCAGAAAGTTTGTTTAATCCATTATGAAGTCAGGGTCCAGCTGTCCCAAGTACATTCAGATTGTGAAGAGCCCCAAATCCCGGGGATGTGGGGCTCTTGGGGGATGGGTTTGGTGGGGGTCTGTGCTCTCTCTCTCTCTGTTGCTTGCATTGGTTCTCTTCACCTGCCTCATGCTTTACTTATGAGCTTTAAAGAAACAGCCACCTCATCCTTGATGCCCGCTCCTCAGAGCAGGTAAATGAGGTGGTTCCAGGGTAATGGGGCAACAGGCAGTCATGCAAAGCAGGAGAAAGCAAGTGTCCTGGTGCTGAGAGACACTGGCTTCACTTCCTGGAGGCTGGATGCCTATCTTTAACCACAGAGCAGGGCCAGGCAAGCAATGTAGCCTGTCTTTGAAATTGAGGGACAGTGGAAACAGGTCGCTTACGTTTGATACAATGGAACTTGATTTAACTTGGTGCTGTGCGCTGCTGCTCTGGGAATCCCGGGGTCATGGTGTGTGTGAGGGGATCCTACACTCTCAGACAATAGGGCTGGGACACACTAGTTACAACAGAGACCCTAGGGGAGAAAGTGCATACATTAGCTAACTGCATGGGCTTCCCTGCACCCTGCTGGCAAATGGGGCTGGCTTGGCCCCTCTGGACAAGTAAGGGAGGGTCTGAGCAGAAGCAGGTGGCATGCGCTTTGCATGAACTAAGCACCCTTTCTACCTGCAAATGTAGGTCTACATCTGTCAGAGCACCCTCTAGTGGCCAATTCACCCCTCCCGTGTTCTCTATGTGTCTGACAATAATAATAATAAATAATAATAATAATAATGACTGTCACTTGTATTTGAATACGACTGTGACTGGCAATCAGTTTCCACATGTAGGGTTCAGGAAATGTGTCAAGGCAAGTTGGTGTCTACGTTCCCTCCGACTGTCGGGCAAAATGGAGCGATGACATTCTGTTGCATGTTCTGCTCCCTTCATAGCAGAGTACCAAGCTCGCCTGTGATGGCCCGTATCCTCCCAGGTCACTAAGTCCAGCCTGGCAGACTGGATGTGCTGCTTGATGCAATCCTTGAAGTAATATTTGGGGTGCCTATTTAGTTCCCTGCCTTTTTAAAATGCTCTGCACATACAACTCT